TACACATAAGAGTTCTAAAATTCACGCATTCGGAATACAGAACATGATACTTTATATTAAAATAAACAATTTTTTCCTTTAGCAAAATTATGTCTGATAAATAATTTTTGCTTTTATTTGTTAACTTCAATCTGCTCTCCTGCAAAAACTACTTATCGGACGCAATTTTGCTAAAGGAAAAAGTTTAGAACGAATGTAATTTTTTCCTATAATAAAATTACATAAAGTCGATAAATAATTTTTTTGCTTTTACTCAACCTATTCTTCTGCAAAAACTATTTATTAGACGTAATTTTGCAAAAGGAAAAAGTTGTTTGTTTTAGCATAAAATATCATGTCTTATACTCCGAATGCGTGAATTTTGAGACACCCTGTATATACATCATAATATAATTCCTCCAATTATTCTGCACATAAAAGTAGAAATATAAAAAATCAATAATTTACAAAATATTTTACTTTCTTCTGCACATAATGACCATGAAATATTAAATAAATAATTAATATATCTTAATATTAATTTTTTGATAACCGATTTTAATACTTTTATGAACAAATGAATCAATTGAACAAAAAAAATATAAATAATAGTAAATAATAATAAAAACTTATTTAAAATATGATATCCACTTCAGGTGACGTTCTCACATAAACAGTCTTATTTTCAATTTTATTATTTATTATCCTCCATATTTTTCTTAAAGAAATTATATGTATTTTCTTTTTATCTAGCTATAATTCTAGTTATTAAACTAACATTTAAAATATTTTTATATTTTTTCAGAAAAGATTTTAATTCGCAAAAGAATGTCTCAGATCTTTCTTTTATTCATTATCCCAAACATAAAATAATTGAGAATTGTTGAAAAGAAATAGAATCTTTAATAAAACTACACGTCTTTTTATGTTTAGCATGCACTTTTTCTTTCTTGACACTACCTCTCCCCCTCCCCCTCTCTCTTCCCCCTTTCCCTCATTCTCTTTCTTTAATAAATAATAAATCTGAAATACAAGGGGGAAACGCAATACGCGAATGGACACGCAGGGTCGTCACCCATAACGCGAGGGTTACTGCAGTAAGGACTACAGACAGGATGTCGCCATTGCGATCGCAATTGAGAGGGTGTACATAAGAGGGGTCCTGAAACTCGATTACGTTAGTTTTCCTTAGAAACTGAAAGTTTTCATGAACACGTAAAATTAGATATACATTAAATTATGATAATCGCAATATATCCATAAAGATAAGCATCACAATTAAAAATATGATAAATTATAATGAATTTAATTAAATTAAGAGTATAATGCGCTTTCATTAAGTATAAGCTATATGCCTAACATTATTGTATGATTTATCCTCTTCGATGAATTATAATGTAGACTTAATTACGTCCACTTTGATAATTTTAATAATTTTACTTTTCATTTATACGTATACGTAACATATAATATATCGTTATAATTAATTATAATAATATAATAGCAAAATCTATTATAAATATAGAGTTAAGCAGGACCGCTGTTAAAAGTGTAAGAGGATTTGCTATTATTTTATATTTTTTTATTTACTGATGTTTTAAATAAAATATTTCAAATAATTTAAAAACAATTTTTAAGAATCTTTAAAGAGCTCATAAATTTCATTTTTATTTTAGGATATTGTCATTAATTTTTTCCTTGAAAGAAGACAAATATAAAAAGTAAAAATTTTTACCATTCAGGCTAATAAAAAAATTTTTTACTTTTCAAAAAG